TTAAATAAAAAATTCTTGGGAGCCAGCAGGTGGCATAGTGGTTGAGACATTGGATATTCCCACATGGCTGACCATGATTTGAGTCTCGGACCTGGTGCCTTGCTTTTTCACTTTCCCTTTCTCTCTCCCTGTGTCTCTCTCTGGTCAAATTAAAGTAAATGAATTCTTTATTTAATTTTATTTATTATTATTATTATTATTATTTTAAAATTTGCTACAGGGCATGTGTGCTCACCAGAGAGAGACAGAGAGAGCGACTGAGGAAAAGAGAGAAAGCAAGCTGCCAGCTCCAGAACTAGGACTGTGGGAGTCAACCGATTTAAGTACCATGCCACCTGCTGACTCCATAAAATATATTTTTAAATTAAGATAATTTGTTACTTTTAATTTTTTAAATGTGGCTACCTAAAATTAAAATTACATATCATGCTTAAATTACTTTTTCTTTTTAATTTTTTTGCAATAAGGGATGTGTGTTCTCCAAAGAGGGAGAGAGAGATAAAGAGAAAGAGAAAGTGAGAAATCACCAGGGGTGGCCATGCCAAAATCCCATTTCCTTCATTTTCCTCTCAGGATTTTGGGCATGAGGGCACACACATCCGTTGTATTTTTCAAGCCGCGGGGTCCAGGACTCAAACTATGCAGTCAACCATATAGGATCCAGTGCCTTAGCCACCATGCTATCTGCCGGCCCATTGAATTACATTTCTAATGGACAGCACTAGTCTATGTGCTTCAAAAGCTAATGATAGGGAACCAGCAGCTAGTATGAAAGTTAAGTCACTGGAATCCAATGTAGTTGACCATGGTTCGAGTCCCAGATGCAGTGGCTTAAAGCTCATGCTGGGCATGTGTGCATGCATGCCCAAAACAGGTGAATGAAGGAGAAGGGATTGTGGTATGGCCATCCCCACTGGAAATTATTTCTCATTTTCTGTCTCTCTGTCTCTCTCCAGAGAGTGCACACACCCTATAGGAAAAAAAAAAACCCTCTTAAAAAATGTTAATGATAATCTCCTTAAAATCTTTTCTAATTTCCTTAATTTTAATCCATTTCAATATGATCTCCACAAAAAATTAACAATATATTTATTTACTCTTAAATGACCATTTCACATATCTCACTACATTTAATTTTCTTAGTTACTATGTAAGAATAATTAGATTTGTTTTTTAAATTTAACAAGAAAGCCAGCTATTCAAAACGAGGGCTTAATCCTCTGCATATTGGTTACCTAGATGTTCCTTGAGATTTTTATAGAACTTGAAAGAGGGAGAAATCTGCATTTGAAGTAAAAAATGAAAGGTCTGTTTTTAAGTAGCAAGTGGCTTATTTTTGTACTAATTTTGATAACATGTGCCTTCTTTTCATGATCTTAGTTTGCCACTGTGAACACATCAAGGAAGAAATATCTCCAAAATGTAGTTTTTTAGAACCTGGGTTTTAATAGAAATTTTGAATGTGTAGTCGTTGCAGAAATTGAACACTGGGTCACCCTCCCCCATTATCTTAACATTAGAAATACTGATATAATTGGCTTTAAAAACAAACAAACAAAAAACCACAAAACTTTGCATAGGCAGTTTCTCAAATAAGAAAAGTTCATTTTGATCATGTGCATGCATGTAGAATATTTTTACCAAACAGAAAGATTGTGTTAAAAAGTTATACTTTATTTGCTGAAGTCATACATATAAGCTATAATTTTGTGTGCTTTATAAACACTTAAAATATAAAAAATGGAATTTTAATTTTCTAACAATGTGCACAAATTAAACCTTTTTCAACCTGTTCCTAAGTTAGGGAAGTAGGAAGGAATAACAATTTAATGAAAAGATGGTCTCCAATTTCTGAATTAAAGAGCTACAACTGAGAAATACAATAAAGAAAACATACTGCTCAGACCAATCCAGTTGAGAATACTAGAGAAGTATTTCATATTGGGTAAAGTCTTTTTACAAGCAAAATGAGAAATTGTGATTGACTGTTTAAAAAAAATAATTGGGGGGCCAGCAGTTAGCGTAATGGCTATGTCGCTGGACTCCCACGTAGTCCACTGCGGTTCGCGTCCCGGACCTGGTGACTTAAAACTCACGTCGGGTGCGTGTGCGTGCGTGCCCAAGATCCCGAGAGGAGAATGGAGGAGAAGGGATTGCGGCATGGCCATTCTTCCTGGGAGGTGATTTCTCGCTTTCTGTCTCTCTGTCTGTCTGGCAAGTGCATGCGCCCTATAGCAAAAAAAACTTCTCAAAAGAAAAAAAAAGTAAAAAAAAAATAATAATTGGAATAATAATAATAATGATCAGGAAAAACAATGAAAAGATATTGGATGATGAAATGGGGATTTTAATGTCTCTGTGTTGATTGGCATGCATGGTATTTCTTCTGGAAAGGAAATGTAATACACTATAAAGTTATATGTGATTCAATGTAGTATAAACAAGATTATGATGATAATAAATACATTTTAAAAAATGAAAACATGCTGTAGAGTATATTATATCTGTGTTTTGTGTTAAGGATGTCTTAAGTGGACCTTTTTTATTTTCTTTTCTTTTTTTTTTTTGGTATTGCTTGTATTATAGAAGGGATTCGAGTTTGCCCTTCTTATTTTGTTTTTAGTTGTCAACTCTAATAAAATGAAATTAGGGTTGGGTGGGTTAGACTTCACTAGCCACACTGAAAAGAAGAGCGCCCCCATCATATATTCTTTTGGTTTCCAGAGAACTTTTTAGTGATGAAAACTAATAAATGGGAAGAACTATTCACACGACTTCAAATACAAGCAGATCTGTAATCCCATTTGTACTATAACTCCCTTTTTTAAGTGTGAAAACTCTGGATTAAAAATATGAGGTACTATAAAACATTATTAAGTTGAAGAACAGAAGTTAAAATGCATAATTATGGTCCATGTTTCAT